CGTATACATAAATTGATATTCAAGCAATAGGAGACTGTCTTTATGTCTTGTCGGATTTATGCTTCTCTCTTCCTGTCACCGGAGAACCCGCTCATCCACCCACGTACCCGCACTTAAAAACCCGTCCATAAACATATAAAGTATATTTCGGTCTCTGGCATTGCCACGCACGTGCATTTCAATTCATTCATATCTACCGACCGTCACATTTCGACAGGCTTTCTTTTATGGCCTAACGATCTGAAGCTTTACGCTCTTCCTCAAATAGGCGCACGTGATCGGGCGAAAATATGGTCTTTACATTCAGCCCACTTGACCCCACCGACGCTTCTAGAGTGCATTCCTCTTTTGACGGAAGGTAATATTTTAATGACCGCCAAAAAAGCATTTTTTGTTTATATATATATATATATATATATATATATATATATATATATATATATATATATCGGTGTGTAGGTTCGTCGCGGAATCATTTTCGACATGTTTTTTCTCCTAGCTCCATTTATACGCACTGGTATTTATATATTACATCAAAAATTGCAAACAGAAACATCTAAAAAAAATAAATAAATAAATAAATAAAAATCTGAAGGCATGAAACGAATAGAAGTTAAATAATAGAATTTCTTCTGTCTATATTTCTGAAATGAATTATTGTAATTATTTACACTATTTACATTGTTCGACCTGTTGTCCTCATCTTTATTGCCATATTCACGACGTTTTGGTCGTTGCACGCTCCGGCCTTCTTCAGGTGATTAGAATTTTTAACTGAACGCTTTATTTCATCCACCAGGGTAGATTGTTCTAGTTCCGCGTGCCATGCCTCTACCGGATGTCTCAGTTATCTCTCTTTAATTCAACTCTCTGTTTACCACTGCAGTAGCCATGTATTGAACTTACAACTCTAAGCCGGACAAGCATAGAAAAGGAATACAATATTGAACCAGTAATAGGGTTTTCTAGAGAAAAGCAATAATAATAGCAAAAATTGCAATATGAGCTCTGGTAAAAAAAAATGACAGCGATATTAAGATTATAAGTCCCCAAAATTTCATATACTGATGTCCTCAAGGACAGATGGTCCAGTGAATAAAAGCGTTGGTTGGATCTAGTGACTTTTCTCAAAGCTACTGCAGTGGTGAACAAAAACTTGGAGAGTTAAGGGGAGATAACTGACACATCCGGAAGTGAACTAGGATAATTGAAGCGTACAACGGCCGAAACGTCGTGAATATGGCAATAACGATGAGGACAATAGTTAGTGAATGTAAGTTTTCTTTTTTTTTACATTCAAAGAAGTATCAACAATATTATTGATCCTGATCTGGCAGCTCGGCTCCCTCCCACCGCCGTAATGTTGTCTATGTCTTTTCTATGAATACTTTGACGGTAATTGTTCAGAGCTCTTCGCTATGGTACCTAGAGTTTTTGAATTTAAGTGCAGCACCCGAGTTTACAGTTAAAATGGCCAGATATAGCCGTAAATTCTATGCCAACAGCTTCTTCTCTCGCGCTTCTCTCTTGTGGAACTCCCTTCCGGTTCTATGCTTTCCGGCCAACTTTAATCTGCAAAAATTTAAATGCAAGCTCAATCGCTATCTATCTGTCCTCCTGATTACTGTCTTCTCGTTCTGCTCATCATTATTGTTTAAGTTCTTACTTCCTCCACACACTTTTCTGGCATTCCTGCCTTTCTTGGTGGGATTCCGATTAAAAATTCGATCCCGAAAAGAACATAAATATCCGAATTGGTTGGGCAGATTTTTACGACATATCTAGGTCATTGCTAGGTCAGCTGTTAAGAAAGTTGGTTCACCGTGTCGTGCGAGACAATTTTTATCACCAGAATCTATCTTACATATCTATAAATCTACCATTCGTCCATGTTTAGAATATCGCTGTGGCATACGCCCGGTACCACTGATATTTGCATTGAGCCCCTTGATAAAATACAAAGAAGAATCAGCAATATTATGGGTTTTGATCTGGCGGTTCGTCTTCAGTCACTTTGCCACTGCCGTAAGGTTGCTTGTTTGTGTATCTCTATCTATAAAAGGCAGGATATGTGTATGTGTGTGTATGTGTGTGTGTGTGTGTGTGTGTGTGTGTGTGTGTGTGTAAGGAATGCACGGCCGCAATTTTCGACGGATTTGCACCAAAATATACATGCACATGCTCCAAGTTAGCGGGAAGGCCAAGACCAACTTTGCATTTCGCAACTCACATCGATAGTGGAAATAATCGACGGCAGCTTTCGTGTAGTTTGCGGCCATTTTCTACTGGCCAGAGTGAGAGCCTATAGCTGGCTGCCACGAATAGGCAGGAAGATTCTACTGGCCAGCGTGAGAGCCAATAGCTGACTGACACGAATGTTAAGTAGCATGCTAGCATGCAAACAAATCGATAGCTGCATTCGTCACAAGTGGGAAAAATGTAAATCTGCATGCCACTTTACTCCAATTGGCTCATTCGCTTGCTTAAACTCAACGTCGATTCTGATTCCGCAGAACTGGGTTGGGTGTGAAAAAGTATTTGTTGTTAACGCTCTTTTTTCATTCGGTTTTTCCAGTTACGAGTCTTTTTTAAAGCTGATCGTTTTGTGTTCCTTTTGTTTAGTTCTTTTTTCGTAACAGATTTAATGTTTAGTACAGAGCTTCGAAAAAATTCGCAGTGTGAGATAGGCAAGAAGTAAGGCATGTAGCAACATCAACACAGCAAAGGGCACTACTTTAAAGGCAAGGAAGGGCAAAAATATTTTAAGTCAAGTGACAGCGATTGCTGTATGAGTCGTACGATTTTTGAATCAAGCACGGGCAACGCTGGGCCATGCTGTTAGTTTTTAATAAAAATTTCATGGTAATTGTTCGGATGAGCTTTTCGCTATTTTCTTTAGTTTCTTGTATATAGTTTTGTTCATTTTTGTAAATATTCATTCGGGTTTAGATTTTAAATTGTTATTTTATTCCCCTCCCCCACAGACAATGAATTGTACATATGGTGACTAGTTAGGACTTTAATAGAGACAATGTGGTATTATGGTGGGTGTAGTAAGAAAGATAAGTAAGAACGTGTTGTGGTTTAAGGAATATTTTTGTATGTTTGTGTCAGTGGTTGTGGCTAGCTAAGTTTAACGTTAAGACAGAAGAAAACCGTCCTTTCCACCATTCCTCATTTTGGTCTTGTGCCACATTTTGTAAATAAATTACAAATAAATATCGCTCTTCTCTAGTGTAGTTTCTGAGGTATTATAGTGGATGCAGTAAGAATGGTAATTAAGAATGTGTTGTTTTTGTGTAAGGAATTCTGTGGTACGTTTGAGTCAATAATTGTGGATAGCTAAGTTTAATTATAAGAAAGAAGAAGACCATCTTTCCCCTTTCCCACTTTTGGCCTTGTGCCATATTTTTGTGCTATTACGAAATATATATCATTCTTCGGTATCTAAACTTATTGAATTTAAGCGCACTGCTAGACTGGCGTCGAGATCTCATCAATTAACAGTTGAGCTGGTTGGATGTAGCCGAAAATTCTATGCTAACATGTCTTTTCTAGCACTTCTCGCTTGTGGAACACCCTTCCAAGTCCTTGCTTTCCAGCCAACTTTAATCTGCAAATATTTAAATGCAATATCAATCGCTATCTACTGTTCTTCTTATTAATCTTTTCTATTCCCGCTCTTTATTAATGTTTTCGTTCTTAATTCTTCCACACTCTGTAACCCCTTTTGTCTTAGTGGCTTTATTGCCTTGCATGGAGTGATACCGATTAAAAAATATCAAAATATATTATTGTGTTATTTAATATCGAAATCTATAGCCTTACACATGAATCAAAGGTTGATAGACCGTAAAAAACAATCAATGAAAACTATACTTGAGCTTACAGGAAAACATTGATCATGTTTATATTTGAGTCTATAGTTATACAATGGTCTATACTGGAATTTATAAGTATAAGTAAAAAGAAAGGATTAACATGAATTGCAAGACTATGGTTGTTAGCAAAAGGGGCAGTCCAACATTCAAATTACAAATTGGAGATGCCAAAATGAAATAAGTGTAACGATTTAAATATCTGGGAAGTGTTTTAACAGAGGATGGAATGTTCGACAATGAAATTCGAAAGAGTATTAGAATATCCAAGGATGTTTTCCAAAAGCCAAGATGCAGGAACATTTCGTTAGACACAAAGAAAGGGGTACAGAATTTTTACGTTATATCAGTCATCCTATATGGCAGCGAATGCTGGACAATCTCCTCACAGATGAAGAAGAAACTTGAGGCAACAGAAATGTAGTTTTACAGATTGATGCTGAGAATACCATGAACATGTGTGCAATGAGGAAGTTTTAGAGAAAATGGAAGCAAAAAGAACACTTATGCTTAACATCAGGAAGAGATTGTTGAAATTTCTAGGGCACATAATGAGGAAAGAAAGCTTGCAAAAATTTCATCGTACAAATGTCGAATACCATTTCGCAAGATACTCACAAGACGTATTGAAGACAAGAGAGATAGATGAAAGCAACGCCTAACCTCCCTATCGAGCTTAAATAAATGGATGCCGTAAAATTTATTAAGAGCTACAAAGGATAATAAATTGTAGGTGTTTTCCATGGTGGTTAAATGAAAGCAGTTTCGTTTTGTTTATTAATTACGGGATAAGAACTCAAATCAAGTAGGATGCTGTTTTTTTTTCCTTTGTTTTAATTCCATTTCATTTTCTTAAAGGTTGTAGAACAAAGACCTAAGTATTGTCATTAAAAAGCAACAGAAACAAAAGTAAACCCTCAAAAATTAAAAGCAATAACTAATGATATTTCACGTCAAAATAAAATCGGAACAAAATTTGTCATATGGGAAGCGCACTAAGAGTTATATTTATTGAAGCTTCCTAGTAAAGCTTCTGTAGCCAAATGAGTAAAACAACTGTGACAAAATAACAGGTTACTATATAGATATAGAATGCAAGTGGCGTGTTCCTTATTAATAATATTAATAACGACCTTAGATTTGCGATAGAAAGAGTAAAAAAATGTTTATAGATTTATCAATGATTAATAATGATTCCGCAATTTTTTTCTTACTTCTGTGAGCCGTATCCTTTCAGGACGTGTGTGATTCTGACTCTCCAATACTTCCGCTCGTTCATCATGAGTGGAGAAAAATGAAGGCATACTTGCCTTTTATTTGGTGTTGAGCATTGACGACAAGCACCATATATATATATATATATATATATATATATATATATATATATATATATATTATATAAATGGACAAATCCCGACAATTATTTTAAGACATTTTTATGTTTATACATTCTTTTTATAGATACAAATATTTAAATAAATGGTCTGATTATAATAAACAGTATTAAACATTTACCAGCCTGAATGTCCAAGAAATTTTCATAGAAAATATTCGTATTCCGACAAGTATAGGATTGGTGTATACGGAATAAATTCCGATAACCAAAAAAATTTCTTAAAAATTGTATTAACATATATATATATATATATATATATATATATATATATATATAGATATAATATATATATATATATATATATATATATATATATATATATGTGTGTGTGTGTGTGTGCGTGTGTGTGTGTGTGTGTGTTTGCTCTACTCTTCTCAGAATAACTTTTTGGTTATTAGAATTTTTAATATTGTTATTTATAAAATCCCTACAAAATAACATATTTATGTTATAATTTTTAAATAAATAATTATATATATATATATGTGTATGTGTGTGTGATAAAAGTATGGCTTCAGAAAGGGTTTACTTCAAAGGGATTAAATGCAGAATTCATATGTGTTTGTAGTTTTATTTTTATAGCACAGTCCCTATACTTTTTTCCAGCTCACGTATTATATATATATATATATATATATATATATATATATATATATATATATATATATATATATATATATATAAATTTATCATATAGACAAATATGTTTTTACTCATTACAAAGATGCAACTTCGTTTCAGTGCATTTCATCTGCACTTCGACACGCTGAAGTGCAATTGAAATGCAGCTGAAATGCACTTAAACGGAGTCGCATTTTTGTAATGAGTAAAATGGCTTTGTCTATGTGATAAAATTATAATAAATAAATAATTATCGCTCTACTATCGGTATCGAGGCCTCTTTTGGATTAATGCTGTGAACGTTGGAATTTATATATTACTTTCGTTCTCATCGCATCGCATCAGATATATATATATATATATATATATATATATATATATATATATATATATATATATATATATATATATATATATATATATATATATATATATATATATATATATATATATATATATATATATATTGGGGCCCCACTAATATTCCATACGATCAATTCATCAGACCTACAAATTTGTAGGTCTGATGAATTGAATCATATTTATATATTCAATGGAATAAATTATGACCATGGAATATTAGTGTTTAAGCCTTTTTATTATATCCTTACTCTGTCCTAGACATTGAGTTCTACCCGGATTCTATCCTCTTGGAATTAAAAAAATATATATATATATGTATGTGTATGCATATATGTTATATATTTATATTTTCATATGTATGTGTATTTTACCACTAATATTATATATATATATATATATATATATATATATATATATATATATATATATATATATATATATATATATATATATATATATATATATAAAAGCTATGAATACATGTGTATTCATGACATTTGATCTAAAATGATAAATTTAATAGGTTAGTCCAACCAACACAGAAAAAAACCCAGATCTATCTATCTATCTATCTATCTATCTATCTATCTAAGCCTGTTTATATTTATTCAGCTAGGCATCTATCTATCTATCTATCTATCTATCTATCTATCTATCTAAGCCTGTTTATATTTATTCAGCTAGGCATCTATCTATCTATCTATCTATCTAAGCCTGTTTATATTTATTCAGCTAGGCATCTATCTATCTATCTATCTATCTATCTATCTATCTATCTATCTATCTATCTAAGCCTGTTTATATTTATTCAGCTAGGCATCTATCTATCTATCTATCTATCTATCTATCTATCTATCTATCTATCTATCTAACCCTGTTTATATTTATTCAGCTAAGGAATCTATCTATCTATTTAACCCTGTTTATATTTATTCAGCTAAGGAATCTATCTATCTATCTATCTATCTATCTATCTATCTATCTAAGCCTGTTTATATTTATTCAGCTAGGCATCTATCTATCTATCTATCTATCTATCTATCTATCTATCTATCTATCGTCTGTCTCTGTGTAGCGCTGTTCTTTCTTGTTTACCTCCTGCCTTCCACTCTAGTTCGAAACTCTGCCCTTTTCCCTGCTTTCAAACTTCCTTCCTTTTTCTCGCACCTTCGTATATATACTTCCAGTGGACCACTCAGTCCACTTGTCATGTGCTATTCTTATTTCGAGTACCCATCCTAATTATCCTCTTCCCCTTCCCACCCCGTACCAGCTTCACACCAATTAATGGTGACACTCACTCGATGGATCTGTTGATAGAACTGGAATCTCTGACGCTAAATAACCAATCATTTCAGAAAACTGGAAGATGCAAAAAAAAATAAATAAAATAAATAAGAATTCGGTTATGACAAAATACTATATTTTATCACCTTTTTTTTCTTAAGTGGTTCCTGTGAAGTCATTTCAGACGTCTTGATTTTGCTACGCCAGACAGGATACGATGGCTTTCTTAGTTTCAGGCGATAAGGCATATCACTGCAGCGCACACATGCATATATATATATATATATATATATATATATATATATATATATATATATATATATAAATATATATATATATATATATATATATATATATATATAGAGAGAGAGAGAAAAAAAAGAAAAGGTTGGAAAAGCCAATTTTTTTAAAATAAAGCAACGCTACCTTAATTAAGTAAACACCGACAGTGTTTAATACCCATCACGGCATTTTTCTATCGTTTTTCCACATTGCTGTATTGGCTTTTGTTTTTGTATTTTATTTTTTCTGTATTTTTTTTTGTATTTATTTATTAATATATCTTCTAAGTTAATTTTTAACTTTGAGATTAATTTTCAGACCAGTTAGGTTTTTGTTAAAAAAAAAAATCTTCACAAACATACACAGGACATGTAAATGAAACTTATTCATTTTTTGCTTGGCAACAATGAAGCTTTAGTATGCTAGATAGAAGAAGTCGGGAAAAAATGAGGAAATATATTTCGTTTTATATTTTTTTTCCCTTTCTTTGTCTTATTCTATTGAGAAGCAAAGTCGCCATTCTCAACTGTTGGTGTGTTGGCGATGATGACCACGTGCATGTCAGATTTGACCCCATCCTTACCACAGCTCGGTGGTCTTTGAAAATGGAGACGCTTCTTGTTAAAATCAGCCGCAACCGTACACTAAGTGACCATTTGATTCAAGGATAGCAAGAATTAAGCACGTGGCCCCATGTGTAAGTAGAAAGAATCTGTAGAACCAGGATTCAAATTAGTCTTAAATGACGTCATATACATAACGGTTACTTGGGAGCTTGAACGTACAAGGAAAACATGTATCAAATATTTATACATATTATTATTATTATTATTATTATTATTAGTGTATGTTATGTTTCCTGCTTTGTATCTTATAGAGCCGGGTCCAAACTATGGTTCTTAGGCCCTATACGAGAATTGCCATTTATAGCACTTTTCTTAATATATGGGATGTTCCTAGTAGGGCGATCTTCTGAGCAATTTGTATGTTGATGTTACCTGAGACACTGTTAGTAAAAATGTCCATTCCTTTTCTCACAAGGCGTAGAGCTCCGATTACTATTGGTATAGTCTCAGTCTTCATTCTCCACACCCTCTTAATCTCGATCTCCAGGTCTTTGTATCTGGACAATTTCTCGATAATCTTTATGGAGGTGTTTCTCTCGGGTGGTACTGTTATGTCAATAAGCATACGCTTCCTAAATTTCTTTTTTTTAATGATAATATTAGGTCTGTTAACTGATATTTCCCTGTCAAATTGAATTGGTATGTGCCAAAGGATAGTTACATCGTTATTTGGGGTAACTGTGTCTGGTTGGTGCTCATACCATCTCTCAATGGTTTTGATTTTGTGCTTCTTGAATATCTTCCACTTCCAGTGCACATATGTCGCTACGGCGTTATGTCTCTGGGTATATTCACTTTCTGCTAGTTCCAGACATCCGGAGATAATATAGTTGAGAGTTTCATCATATTTTCCGCAGATTCGGCGTTTCGGTTTATTGCCATCTTTGATTATGTGGCAGTGATAGGATCTGATTGCGAGTCCTTGGTCCTGAGCTGCGATAATTAGACCTTCAGTCTCAGCTTTAAACCCGGTGTCCCTCAGGAACTGGTGTGTTTTCTGTTGGTCCACTTCTGCTTCTTTCGTTCTTTTTAGGTATTTGTCACACAAACGCCTTGTCCTCCCAGTTAATCTGTGATTTCATTTGGCCAAATTTGATTTCTGTTTTACTCGTTTGGCGTAGATGGTATTCGCTTCGTTTTTTATCGGTAGCGTTTCAGGTATATTAAGCTGTTTCTTGAAGATTACAGCTTCTTTGTTGATAGAGCTTCATGAGACTGAGGCCTAATCAAACTTGAACTACCTCTAAAATTTACAACAATCGCATTGGAAGCATACCTCACAAAAACCAATAACCAGGGTCATTGGTTTTTGTGAGGTATGCTTCTAATGCGATCGTTGTAGTTGAATTAGATCTGAGTCTCATAAATCTCTTGGTGCGCACAGCCTATGAATATCTGATTTCGCGTGGTGCATCCTCATTTGGGTAAGCATTTTTCATGTCTTGGCATCTAATCTTTTAATGCCATTCAACTTTCATTTAATAATATTGAAAAACTATGTTACTACGGGTATAGATAAGGCGTTCATAGCCTTCATTTTATTGGCTCCATCTTTCTAGTATCAAACACATTCTCCTATAATATTATTTTTAGATCTTTTTCTTCATATCTGAATGCTGTCTTCCGTCTCCTTCATTAATTCCTAAGCATTTATATGTACCATTTTGGTTTAGTTCCTTAATCTTGTGACTTGTATCCGTAGCTGCTGTTGTACAGCAAGCAGCTGAGTGGCGCTAATCAAAGGCAGAAGAGTAGTGGTGACAATGAATCTTCTTCGAAGATCCCGCTTTTGATGTTGATTAGTCGCCATGTTAATGACCCGTTTGTATAGTTTAGGCTTACTACATTTTTTTGATTATCTATGTTATGAATTTGTCCATTGTGGAGGGCCTAATCTTTATATTTTTAGGCTCTTTTCTATCCATGAGTGTGGTACACTGTCGAACGCCTTTCTATAGTCGATCCAAGCTGTCGATAAGTTTCTTTTCTTTGTTTTCACCTATTTCAAGGAAACATCCACAATACATACAGCCACAAACATCACACCTGTCCGCTTCTATCTCCTTCCCAAAATACACAAAAGCAACAACCCAGGAAGGCTGGTTATTTCATCGTTCAACTGCCACACGACTAAAATTTCAAAATACGCTGACCATTACATACAACCCCTAGCTAAGGAAGTAAAATCCTACATCAGAGACACAACAGACCTACTAAACAAAATTAATCACATACAAACAGAAAATGCTATTCTAGGGACTATGGACGTAATATCACTTTATTGAAACATGAAACATATTGAAAGTCTAACCGTCCTTAAGGAAGAAAACAAGACCCCCTACAGAAGTTATCATAAAACTCATGGAGTATATTCTTACCATGGAGAATACTACCTGCAAGTAAGAGGCTGTGCCATGGGCACCATTACAGCTTTATCAAATGCTACAATTACCATGGAAACATTTGAGGAGACCTATATCTATCCCTTCATCGGTAGCGACTGCGTATTCTATGCAAGATATGTCGATGATATCTTCTTTGTATACACGGGCAGTGACGACAAACTCACTCAATTCCTTATGACCCTAAACATGGTACATGACTCAATTAAGTTTGACTACGAAAATTCCACAGGATCGGTAACATTTTTAGACACCCGCATTTACATAGATAAAACAGAAAACTACGAACGACACTACACATTAAAATCACCGACACCCACAACTATCTACATTTTAAGTCTGCCCACCCTAAACACCTCAAAGAGAACGTTCCATATTCACAAGCACTTAGAAGGATATGTTCCAACAATGAAGAACTAAATAAACACACTCAAAATCTCGAGCATCAATTCACAACACGGGGCTATAAACAACACCTAATCCAAATAAAGCAATTTCTACACCTAGAGAAGACACCCTAATGTACAAAATTAAAAATAAATCCAGACGCATCCCTCTGGTAACCACTTTCAACCCCACTCTTCGTCCACTATCTCAGATAATCAAAAGTCACTGGCAAATACTGCATCTCAAACCAGACCTAAAACTTTTGTTTGAGGAACCCGGCCTCCTAGTATATCGTACACCTAAGAACCTTAAGGAAATTATAGGTAGTAACTACATTTCAGAGGATAAGGTATTCTGTAACAGGCCAAAAATGAAAACGGTAGGATTTTCCCAACCATGTAATCATTTTACTATGGATTAGCTGTTCGGTCCATATAGTTTGCAAGCGCATTCGATGCATACAAGCACCATCTTCAGGCATAGATGTTATATTTTCCTCAATTTTAGGTAATTTCAAGTAAAAAAAATCCAAGACGAAAATGTGTTACTTGTCGAAAAAACAGCAAAGGACAAAACACTTACAACAATAGAAATTTTACATTACTACAATATTCAAAAATCTAGCGACGCATTTCTACACGTCCAAAAATATTCTTAACTGTTAACAACTGCACACGTTTTAATAAAACATCTTTCGACAAGTATCACATCTGTGAGGAAATTGTCAAGCATATAGCCACACTACCAACATTTAGTAGACTCCTGGCCACATTACGTAACTGCCGTTATTCTACTAAATGAGACAGCTAATCGTTATTAGATAGCCTTTTTGCAAACAATTTTTTTAAATTCAAGGGGCTAGTGTGTCAAACAGGATTTTCTGTATTAATCGTATATCGGTAACATAACTCAAGAGGATAAAACGAAGGGTGATTTTCGGAGGAGAATTTTGAAAACAATTCGCTTCATATGGCAAAAATACTAATCTTAATCAAGTGCATATGACATGTCATAAAAAAAGCATAGTTCTCTGCACTATACATGTTCGAACATGGCGAATGTGCGGACAATTTTTGACTTATCTATCTATCTCTCTCTCTCTCTCTCTATATATATATATATATATATATATATATATAGAGAGAGAGAGAGAGAGAAAGAGATATGCACAGACATATATATATATATTTTATATATATATATATATATATATATATATATATATATATATATATATATATATATATAGATAGATAGA